TTCAACATCTCCACAACCCTTTAATTCAACTCCCTGCTTGGACTAAGAGTGAGCCCATAACCAAATATTCTTCCATCTATTGCTTTTCACCAACACCCACAGACTGATATGCTATATTTTGGATGGTGCCATTCTTTTGTTAGTTTGTTTCAGGAAGAGTACAAGAGACAGCCCATTATCACATTTGGGGGAGCTGCAGGGGCCACTACATCTGGAGTGCAGCGGTAAGTCTCTCCTGGGCAAACTACCTTTGTGATCATGGTATTGCCCCTGCCAGGTAATTTAAAAACTCTACCAAGGACTGGGAAGTAGGTCAGTGGCAAAGCACTTACTTGGCATGTGCTTGGTGCAGGATTTGACATCCCACTCAACACACACCACAAACAGAAACAAAGCCATGACACTTCTTCAAAAATTTTCAAACTTAATTTAAAAAACAAAACCCTCAAGAAGATTAGGACCAGCCTACAAACAACAAGTCTATTAAGTACTGGGTCAACAAATAAATGTGGACCGTTCAACAAAGCTCACTTAGGCTTTGTTCTTAATTTCTATCTACTATCTACTAAGGGGGTGGTCCCTTGCTGAAGCTAAAAATTCACTTTATGATTCTTAGATGAGAATCTGCGTTACTAACTCAAACCCAACCACTAGTTACAGATGTTTAATATTTAGACTTTATTTCACTTGCTTTAAAGCCTAAGTTAAACAAAATCAAACAAAACCCAGAATATCATACAGAATGTTGTTGGGCTTATGAAAGGAAGAGTACACTGACACACGTCTGTTTACATATGCACCACTAGAAGACGATGAACTTTAAGAAAATGAGAAGGTCACTGGCATGGTGGTTTTAATCCCAGGACTTGTGTTAATTGTCCACCATGTTCTCTAGCAGCTCCTTGAAAACATACCAGAGTTCTTCAAGTCTCTTTACCGGACTTTAATTTCTTGTATCACAATTATTACAAAAAGTTTTCCCACCCGAAGCGTTTTTGTTCCACCACGCTCTTCTCATCTATTATTCATGTTTCTGTCATACAGATTTCCTTAAACACAGTATCACTTTCATCATTTTAGGTCTCCAGTAAGAATTCGTAACCGCTCACTCTTGTTTGGTACACCAAACTCTCAAGTGAAAAAAATGTCTGCAATTCAAGCAGGTGTATATTGATTTCAACAACTACCACCATTACCAAGATGAATTCTTCTTACAGATGCCTGCCTCTTATACTTTCTCCTGTCTAATTTTCTAGCGCCCACACCTGTGGAATACAAGTTTGCTGTTTACAATATTTCGTGTTGTAATATACCTGTTTTACATTCTCATCCATAACCTTTCTGTACCTCAGCTGCCTCCACAGGAAATGCTTTCATGCATTTTCAGTGAGGTCTAGGCAGAAAAAAAAATTCATTAGTTATTTTATTATTCTATTGTTTCACTGAGGTAAGGACTGATCTTTTGGACTCATGAGCACACAACTATGTAAAATATGCTAAGCTATATCCCTATGATTTTGACTTTTGATTTAGCCAAGATCAGTAGGGTTAATTTTAAGTAACTTAAAAATCTGAATCACGTATCAGACACTTTGTTTCATGCTGTATTGCATAATCATTTTCTTTCTAATGTGTCAACTTACACATTCAAGTGTATTAAGAAAATACATCTTCCCATTTCTCCCTTTTCAGTACGAGACATGATAGGGAAGTACTTTGAATCATTGACACTCAGCAATACTTACTCCAACACATTTTAAGTAAGCCAATCAATCTAATACTTGCTTTTGAGAAAGGAAAACCCATGTATGCTGAGCAAACAATTAAGCAGTTGGATAATTCTAAGACTGTGAATATTAAATAATTACCTCTTAATTTACTCAACATATTTTAATACAGCAAAATATTCTATAAATAAGCCATTTGCTTATGTTTTTAATTAAAAGCCCATCGATGAATAATATTTTAACTTTAATTTTGGAAAAACCCAGTTAAATAATAATTAGAATAATCTATTTAAAAATCTCATATGTTGACAAATCTTGATAATGTGATAATTCTTGTAAACATAAAAATAATGATGTATTCACAATTTCAATTTGTGCAACTTGGTAAAAAGTGCAAACTGAGCAAGACTTTGGTTAAAATAGGAAGAAACTGCATAGATTACATAGAAAATTTACTATAACTTCAAATGGCTCTATGACTTCCACTAGAAGGTCCTCCCAATTTAAAAAAGATTAAATAAAATAAAACAGGTGACTCCATTTACAGGTTTTCATTCCTGTATTCACAATGCTTTTTCCATATTTCTCACACTGCCAAAGAATTCTCTTGTAAATCTGTGTGTGTGTATGTGTGTGTGAAAATGTCATAAATATGCAGGCCGGAACTATATTACTTAAATGTGACTGGTTACAGAAAACATTTTCATATGCTAGAAAATCTTTCAAATGTATTTTTCTGCGATGCTTTCCATACTTAACTGTATAAAAAAATCCAATTTGTCTGGAACTAGTTTTCTAGATAGTAACATTTACATGAAAGTATGCTTCAAAATTCTTAAGTTTTTAAAGAACCAGTCTATATTTTCTTATGTGCTGGAGGACTGACTTACTAATAAGCCTCTGCACATACAATAGGATCTTTTCAATATTAACAGCAAGTAAAAGATCACTTACACAAGTCAAGAATTGTTATAACAACTAAATGTGTAAGGACCTGCTTATGCCTTACGAGCCACAGTTATGAGTAAATGTCCTTATCATTTTATATTCATGTAGGTAGGAGAAAGATGACAAAATATTAGTATCTCCCCACAAACAAGCAAAAACCCAGAACTAGCTATCTTACAAAACTCAAAACACAGAGTAACTAATTATCTGCCTAATCAAGTCTGAAATAAATTTAAATGTCCTCATACATATGTAAGATACAGAGAAACATTCAAATGTTCAAGACAAATGTTCAAGACAAAAGATTCATATAAAAATTATCTAAGAGAAAGAAATGTTACTAGCTGAATGCTAAAATATTTCAAGGAACTAAGAATGTACTGCAAGTACAAGGCAATTACATACATTAAAAATTTTCCTATTAACAACTTTTATAATGGATGTAATTTAATTTCTTATGTGAAATGTTTATAGCATCCAAATTTCCATAGACCTTAAAGAAAGGTAGACTTAATGCTATAATTATAAACCTCAAATAATTTCTCTCTTCCCTACAAAATCTGTCATCGTGATTTTACATACCTACTCCAAAAGCGCACGTGCACACACACACACACACACACACACACACACACACAAGGAAATAATCCAAATGTCTCATAGGTATATATCATACATCAGCATAATATAGCATTTTAAAAAGCTACCTACAATAACACAAATAAATCTTCAAAAAAGTGTGAAAATACAAATTTAAGAATATTTAAAAGTACGGTACCAATAGCATAAAAGTTTAAAACACACAAGAGACATGCAGGAAAGGTTATAAAAGCATCTACAGAAAGAATACACGTAATTTTAGTAGAGGTACCATGGGGAAAGAATGGATAAAACGGGATAGACACAAGAGATTTTTAACCTCTACCCATGTTAAATATTACAAAAAATTGAAAAGGATATAGTATGTTAATATTAGTAAACTGATGGTGTTAAAACAGCGCCCGCTATACTATTCTCTACAATATTCAATTTTGATAGTATTTCACAATAAAAATGAAAATATTCACAGATAAAGGATGACTCAAATCTGTCATCTTCATGTTAAATTAGAAATACTAAAACAGATTTCCTTTTCCAAAGAGACAATAATATTGAGAAAATGTTACATAATTAACAATATGTATACTTATAGAGTATCAATTATCAATTGCTTATATCAAAAATATGCATACAATTTAAAGCAGAACTTAAATGCCACCTAAAAATCCCTCAATAAGCCCCTTTCCTTGGTCAAAGGATCCAATTTCACACCAAACAGTCTTCATTGCTTTAAAAGTATCCCTCTGATTTTGTTGTTGTTTTTCTATATTGCCCTGGCTGTCCTGGAACTTGCTCTGTAGACCAGGCCATACTTGAATTCACAGAGATCCACTTGCCTCTGCCTCCTAAGTGGTGGGATTAAACATATGCACCACCACTGTTGAATTTCTTTCTTAATGGTAGTAACTGAACAGTCTGAATCTTCTTTTAAGTCATCTCTTTCAAATGTTACTCAGAATAAATGGTTTAGTGCAGAGCATATAGGAGAGACCTGGCTTACTGTAAACAAGAACAAAAAAAAAAAACCCCATTGTTTTCTAATACAAACAGTGGCTCAATTTAAAAAAAAAAAAAAACAATATAAACTGCCAATATAAAAATCACTTTTCAGTTTGAAACTCTACCAACCTGAAAGGTAAATACATATGGCTTCTAACTTAGTTACCAAACTGTTTTTCTGGTCTGGAAAGTATTCCCATCTTTGTCAGATTAATACTTCTGGATGACAAACACAGTTTTTTAAATTAAAGATTGGTTAACTACTTACCTGTTGTTTCTGATATGCAGTGTTTGGATTTATCTTTGACTCCAAGAGTAGAGATCCTGAAAGTGTTGAAAAAAACATGTAAGTCAAACTATAAAGCCTTCTTCAATAACACACATTTTACAAATGTTTCAAGTTTCTTCACACGCTGAAGATCTGAAGCTACAAAATGTATTTTAATACAATTTTCTCTCCAGATCTAGGCTACATATTTAGCTTACAATCTTTCATCCTATCTCCAAATGTCTTTAGAGGGAAATATTTATGTGAAACCAATATTCAGACTATGAGAAAACTAAAATAAAACTTTTAGGGTCTAACTGTCCATTTGAAGATTAACTTTAACAAAAGCTGTTTCACTGTATTTCCTGCCTATCAAAACAAATTACGAGGGCCCTGGAGAGACTTACCATACAAATTACTTACCCTGTGCCTATGACAATGAGTAACGACAACAAAACCCCCCACATAAAATTCCCTTCACTAGTTAATAAAAGGGACTCTACATTAGTACAACACGGCCAAAAATAAATCTAAGACTGTTAGTCTTCTATTACCTACATATATCAGTTACTCCAATTGCGTAGTTCTTGAGTACAGGTAGTAGCTGGTGTAATTATAATTATGGCTGTCAGCTTTTAATATTAAAAGGCTTTCTATGAATTCTGCAATCAACAAATACAATCTCCCGAGTCTGCTTTAGTTTTCTAACTTATTGAGACTGTGGAACCCATCCCCCCCCCCCCAATAAAGGCAACCTGGAGGGATCAAAAAGTAAAACCGAAGGTGCTCGTGTTTACATTGTGGCAACGGTCTATACTAACTCCAAGAAAGAGTCCGTTTTTTCCCTAAGGCACTCAGGAGAGTTTTACTAACCCCTTTATATTGGACATACATAAAGGACCAGACTATACCCAAAGCGGGTACGGGGTGACATTATCTCACGGGTTAGGTTCCTATCTGGTCTCCTACCGACTTCCCACTCTTCACATTCTAAACCTCAATAACCAGGCAGGGATTGGAGCGGAAGGAGTCAAATCCTTAATAGGGATGGAGGCGGAGGAACTGGGAGTCCACGTCTGACGGCGAGTGAACCCAGGCCCAGTAGTTTGTTTTTATCGTTGAGAAGGGCAGGCTCAAGCCCCATGCCATGCGCTGTTCCCCCCCCCCCAACCCCGCGCCCGGACATCACACCCCAGCTTCTGCCGCAACCGAAGGCACGCTCCTCTCTTCCCGCGTTCCAATCCCCTTACCGTCGGACTCGGCACGGACCAGCAGCGACATCCCCTTGAGCTCCTCGACGTAAGTGGAGGAGACGTGCCCGGTGCCCCGGTCGTCCCATTGCCGGTCTTCGTTCAGGGTGTAGACCTTCACCCGCCGCCGTGTATCCGACATGGTGGCTGCTGGGCCCCCCGCTCCAGCCGCCGCCTCCTCGCTCACCTCGCCGGTGGCCCTCACTCCTGTGAGCCGGCAGCGGCAGCGGTGGCGGCGGCGGCTCTGGAGAGGCCCGAGTTCACCATGGCTCCAAAGGTCTAGCCGCGAGAAGGGGTGACAAGAGCCATCGAGAGCCCGCCGCCCGTGCTCTCCGGTCCCCTCCCTCCACCCCTGCGCACGACCACCGTCTCTTCCCTTTGCTCTCCGGCTGCCGCCGCCCGCCGCGGGAACTACTACAGATCCGCCATCTTGTAACCCGACTCTCTCAGCCTTTCTCTTCCTCTTCCAGCAGGGTTGCACGGGCTGCCCTAGCAGGGGCTACGGCGGCCGACGAGCCCAGGGCACAGCACCTCTACGCGGAACACACTTCCGGAGAGCCAAACCTGGCGCTCTCGCGAGGAGGATGCACTGGGGGCGCAGGCCCGGGAGGGACTTCCTGCTCTTCCGGCCCGCCTCCTGGGCGGGGAGATCTCGCGAGGTTTTCTGCCTTCTCCAGTGGAAGGTGGCTGCAGCCGTGGTGTTGCTGAGTTCTTCTTGGGGATTTGCGGGATGCATGGCGGGTACGTTCTGCCTGGGAGGTGCGCCCTGGCCACCGTGAGCAGCAGACGACTGTAAGGTTCTACGGAAGCGTTGCCGGTTTCCTGTGGCCCGTCCAGGCGTTCTGCCTGCCAGTAGCCTCGTAGTGCCGGCCATCGGTCTGCGCCTGAGAAAGGTGGCGGACGGCCCGCCCCTCGGAGACCTCGGCCGGGCGGGCTGAAGACGGGTTCGCGCGGGACGCTCGCGGCTAGTCCTGCCTGTCTAGCCGCCAGTCGGTTCACGATACGGTCCTTCAGCTCGGCCTGCTCTTGTCTCTAATCTGAAAAGCATGGGGATAAGTGCACATGGTGACCCCGCGGTGTATTTCGGGAGTTGTAGTTATCACTACACTTGCCCGAGTGTGCTTATGTTTGTTGAGATTGGTTAGACGTGAACATTTCACCAGTATGCTGAAAGGTGGAGCTTGTGTACAGTAGGCGCTTGATTAAAAATAGTTTCAAAATCTGATGTATAATTGCTTTTCTCTGACTCTGTAGGCTGGCGTGCTGCTACCTGCCTGTGATGAGTTCACTTGAAAACGCTGAGACAGGAGGATCTGAGCGGTGCAGGCCAGCCTATGATTTATAGCGGGGTACTGTCTATGCCAAAAGGACTTGAATTGTTATCCATATTGCTGGACATTGCTGTGACTGATCTGTAGAAAATGTACTCTGAGCCAGGGAAAATATAATTGGTTTTGGAAAGGCCACAGAAAGAACATAGGCCATTTTTTAGCCCAGTGTTAGAGGACACGCCTGGGTTATTTCTAACATCTGTCCATTGTCCACTCCTCAGGAGAAAAGGCCTTTGCAAGAGCACTGGACAGATCCTGGAAGCCCATTTAGCTTTGTGACGGGGAATTTCAGGGTTTACAGAGCATTTTCTGTAGAGAGTGATTTTGGCTCCATTAATAAGTTTGAATTTAACAGATGTAGGGGCAGAAGGCTAGAGCAGAAATCTACAGTGCAGGGCCCCATTCGTGCTTGTCTGAAAGCACCTCACCATAACCACACCTTCCCTCAGATCCTCTCCAAAAAGTTCTAGCCCAACTGAGCCCCCATGTCCTGTTTTTACAAGTAATACCTTTATACATTAAAAAAAAAAAAAAAAAAAGGACAGAGAAACTTTTGCAGTGCGAGGTCTCTTCAGCTCCTGCTTCCTGCTATTCAGTTTTTCTTCAGGAAACACTGACTATATCATTCCTCGATAAAACCCTCCCACCTTTTTCTGTATGTTGCTAAAATGGGGCCCATTTCTTGTGTGTGGCCTATATAGTTACACACTTGTTTTAATGCTACTATCACCATCTTGAATTACTAAATTTTTGAACATTTTTCTTTTCCATTAGGTTTCATGGTGTATCTTAAAGATAGTTTTATCATATACAAGTGTGTATGTGTGTTGGTCTCTAGGTGACTTGAATGATTGATTCAAGGACTCATATCAATACCAAATTCTGTGTATCCTAAGTCCCTTATATAAAATGGCATATGTTTTGTTTATTACCTATCATCTTTTGCAGAATAATTATATCATCTCTGGATAATAATGCCTATTATAATACCAGTGTTACTTAAATACTTGTTATATTGGATTTAGAGAATGAATAATAGATTAAAAACATGTTTAGCACAAAGACTTTTTAAGGTTTATCACAGTGTTATACACACAGGAATGCCTGCTCGCCAGAGGATGGCACCTGATCTCATTATAGTTGGTTGTGAGCCACCATGTGGCTGGGTATTGAACTCAGGACCTCAGGAAGAGCAGCCAGTGCTCTTAACTCTGAACCATCTCTCCCACCCCCACAAGGACCTTTTTAAAAGATTTATTTTTCATTCCATGCATGAATGTTTCGGTGTGTGCATGTGAGTGCAGGTGTCATCACATCAGAATCAGGTGTTGGATCCCTGGAACTGGAATTAGTTAGGAGCAGGCTGATGTAGGTTCTGGTCCTCTGCAAGAGCTCTTAAATGCTGAAACATTGGTGCCAGTAGAAGCTTTGATAAAGTGACATTTATATTAGTTGAGGGGAGGAGCTTTGCTACAACATGGTGTACTATCTTAGGGTTTTATTGCTGTGAGAGACACTGTGACCATGACAGCTCTGATAGGGGAAAACAGTTAATTCAGGCTAGTTTATAGTTCAGAGATTCAGTTCATTGTCATGGCAGTAGGCAAGGTAGTGCACAGGCAGACATGGTGACTTCCTCTAACATGGCCACACCTAATCCTTTCAGATAGTGCCACTCCTTATGAGACTGTGGGGTTTCCATTTTCATTCAAACCTATCCAGCTGCTTGGGTTTTAGTTAATTCCAGATACGGTCAAGTGGACAACAGGGATAACCATCACAGGTGATACATAACTAAGAAAAGAAAACCTGAAGCCTTCAAATGTGTATGAGAGCCCCTTAGGGACCCTCAGCCCTTGTAGAAGCAGCTCACAAATCCTTGTGAAAGCAAGCACTCCCTCCCTCTTCAAAGTCCTTTACTATATTTGCCCTGATTTTCTCTTTGAGCTGTCCTCACAGCTAGCTTTAAATCTTAGCACAATCTGGAGGATTTGCTGGGCCTGTTAAAGAGGGTAGATTACACACTGAAGGAACTAAAATCAGCTAGCATGTGGTATTAAGAAGTTAGTGTACACTTGGGATTAGGTTTTCAAAGTGTTCAGTTAAGGGTCTTCATTGTGTTCCACTCTTTAGGAAGAGATAATTTAACCTTAGTGTCGAGTACAGGGATGGGCCAAACTCGCTGCTCTTAGCTCTTCAAAGCTTGAAAGGTGACGGCTTTTGCTCTTTACATAGCAGCTTTTGACGCCCCGAGAAGACAGCTATTTTGATGTGCTCACTTGTAAATCCTAATTGTTTTGTAGTAAGTGGCTTTGGTGGTCTGCAAATGTTTTTTTTCTCTGACACTCCCTTTTAATGTCATAACATTGATCTCAATAAGACCACCAGTTGAATAATAGTGGTGCTTGTTATGTTCCTGACTTTGATGGCCATGCCTCCAGATTTATGTGTGGAGCTGGAGAGATGGCTTAGTGGTTAAGTGCACTGGCTGCTCTTTCAGAGGACCTGGGTTCAATTCCCAGCACCCACAACTGCCAGCTTACAACTGTTACTTCAGTTCCAAGGGATGATATCTTTACACCAGTGCACATAAAATTAAACTTAAAAAAAGATTTATATGTATACCATATGCATTTAGAATCCTGCTTAGGCCAGAAGAGGGTATCAGATCCCTTGGTACTGTAGCTACCAGGTGGGTGCTGGAAAACCAACTCAGGTCCTCTGCAAGAGCACCAAGTGCTCCTAACTGCTGAGCCATCTCTCCAGCCTGTTTCTAATTTTTGATAGATATTTGCAAAACCAAAGACATTATTTATTGAGTTTTGTAAGTCACTTCTTTGGCATCTGGTTATAAGTTTGCCCCTTCAATATTTTATTATAATTTTTATACTTTATGATAATTATCTACATATTTTGTGCTTTTTATTTCATATAACATCTAGTTTATGAATTATTGGAAATTATGGAAGTTTTATAGCAACAATTTAAAAATATTAATAGGCAACTGTAGTTTTCATGAAACATGGTATTTTTCAGTGCTTCTAGAACATACAGAACAAAGTTACCTTAATTCTAACCCTTTTCACTGTTGAAACTGCTTCTACTCAACAGTTTGCCCCTCTGTAAGGGTCTGTCCTGTCCTAGTAAGAGACAAGCTCTGCCTATCCCCCCCCCCCCCCCCCCCCCCCCCCCCCCACCGAGGCAAGCTGATCTTAAGCTTCCAGCCTGAGTCCTTTCCTTTTGTCTCTCCCAAAGAGGTAGTAGCTGCTGCCATGACTCTTCCTCCCTGCCTAGGACCCGCTGGCCCTCATGGCCAGTGGGCCACTGGGGGGGGGGGGGGCTCTGCCTGGGACTGGCTGCCTTCGTGGCCCACTGCCTGCTACAGCAACTTGGGGACCTGCAGCATTTTTATTAAACCCATAACACCCTCCCTTTGTCATCCCTTAAAGCCAGGCTCACATATGACTTATCTGTATTAAGAAACAATTAAAATTACACTTCGTAGAAAGCTTTTTTATTTATTTTAATGTCACATTTCCTCTACCCGAATTATTTTAAGAATGAGGTCTATGCTACCCAAACTGGGGTCAAATTTCTGGACTAAAGAATTACAGGTGCCGGCCACTATGACCAACTCATCACTGTATGAAATGACCATGTGTGTGTATGTATGTGTGTAGAGGCCACAGATAAATCTCCAGTGTCATTCATTTTGAAACAGTTTCTTGGAATTTCCAAGTAAGGCTATGCTGGCTGCCCAGTGAACACCATGGAACCGTCTCCCCAGTGTTGGAATTACAAGTGCAAACTACCATGTTTGGGTTTTTAATGTGTGTTCTGGGGGTTAAACTGTTAAACCTATAACATAATTTAAAAATACATGTTCACTCATTTAGTGTGTGTATGTGCCATTACACATACGTGGTGATGACTTACTCTCTTTATACTACGTGGATCTCTGGGATTAAACCCAGGCTTGATGGCAAATGCCTTTACCTACAAAAGGTATCTTGCTGGCTCAACATTTTTTTTAAGCCTCCTTTTTACATTCCTTATGCATGTGTGCACTCACTTGCCAGTATGTGTGAGTCAGAGGACAATCTGGAGTCACTTCTTTCTTTCCTTCCATCACATGGTGCTAGGGATTGAATTTAGTTGTCAGACTTGGTGGCAAGAGCCTATATTGGCTGAGCCATCTTACTGGCCCATAACATTTCTTTAAAAACAACAAAGACAAAAACCAAAAATCAGAACCATGATGCATGTATGCAACTCCAACACTTGAGAGGTAGAGATGTTTGAGCTACATTGCAAGAAACCTTTGCTAGAGTGTCTATCAACTTTATTAGTAATTATATTGTTTCCAAAGGAAACAGTGATAGTCATAAGATGCAGGTTTTCTTTTTGTTTGGTATATGTTGCCAGGGACTGAATCTAGGGTCTATTAACATTCTCCAGTTGAGAAGGGCAGGGACACAAGATTCACCACTAGGGTGGGGATGTCTTTAGAAGTAGCTTCATGTCTATTGCCCATCGCTCTTGTATACAACCCCAATGAATTCACTTGCTGATCAGCTTGATTTGGTTGGAATACTTGGTTAGGTGCCCCTTCTCTCTGCGTTAGATAGATTCCCCAGAAGCGATACAACAGTCTCCAACTGCTTCCTGCAACAGCCACCTGTTAGTTGATGGCTTCACTCATACCTAGCAAATTTTCCACCGATATCAGAACCTATTACCTTTACAACCTCAAGCTAAAGTTGGCAGTGGAGCTGTTTCTTCCTCTTCAATCCTATATTCATTCTATCCACCCATGAGACTTAAACACTGCTTTTTCTTTTTTCAATCCTCGACACTCCATGTCTTTATAGTCTCTTTCCCATTTCTACTGTCT